AATGTCATCTGAAAATAATGATTATTTAACTTATTCCTTTTACATCATTATTTGTTTTGACTTTTTCATCTTCAGTTGCTCTGGCTAATATTTCCAGAATAATATTGAATAGGAATGGTGATAGTGGATATGCTTTCCCTATTTCTGATTTTAGATTGAAAGCTTTCACTTTTTTACCAATTAGTATGATGTAGACTTTTCATTTTTCATAGATGGTCTTTATCAGATGGAGGTAAAGACTACCTATTTCAGTTTTCTGCAGAGATTTTATCATGAATGACTGGTGGACCATGTCAAATGATTTTTCTGCAATATCCAGAAAATAATCAATATCTTCTTCAGTAATCTGTTCTCTATTAGGATGGAAACATAGAGGAAATGGCTAGATTCATATATATATATATATATATATATATATATATATATATATATTGCTAAAACAGAATCAAGAAGTTATAAAAATTTAAATAATCATTGTCAGTCAATGAAATTGATGATGTAATAAAATAACTTGGCATGATATAAAATCCAAGATCCTGATGAATTCACCATTAAATTCTATAAGGAATTTAGAGAAGATTCAATGCTTTTACTGCTGAAACACTTTAATGAAATTTAAAGGGAAGTAATACTCCAGAAATCGTTCCTGGATGTAATTGTTACCTTGATGTCAACACTAGAGAATGACCCAGTTGAAAAAAGAGAACTATATGCCAATCTCCCTAGTGAACATATACACAATAATCCTTAATATGATACTGGCAAACAAAATGTATCACATCTTGAAAAGGATTATCTAGCATGACCAGGCAAGATTCCAAGGAAACAGGTATGTTTCAACATATGCACATCAATAAATATCATATGTCGTATCAACAAAGTTAAACACAAAAAGAACATGATTATCTCTGTAGACGCAGTTGCAAAATTTTAAAACAAGACAAGAAATTATGAACTTACTCTGAAGTAAAATTAACATCATTATGGGAAATATTCCTTGTAGCTATTGACATATTTTTTTCCTTTTCAATGGTTGATAAGTATGGATGAAATAAATAGTTTTAATCAGGGCCAAACTGCAAGGATATAGCTTTTGAATGACTTGTTAGAGTTCACATATCAAACTTTTTGTAAGTAAGTCTAAGGTTAGCTAAATTCACACCTGTCTGGACAGAGGTATATTTCTTAAAGAGAAATTTCCCTACATGAGAGAGATTGACTTTGGTCAGTAGTAAACAAGCACTATCTCTTTTAAGAAACACCTTTGTCATTGCTTGAAGGCTGTGAGTGTTAAGGAACATCCAGGCAGTGCACATTCTAAAGATTTTCTGTCAGTCAAATGATATGCAACTCCAGTGATTTAAGAAAAAGATCGTTGTTTAACATCACTGGAAAGTCAAATGCTTATCTGCATGTTAAATGCTCCAAGATAAGTTGTGGTAAATTTGCCAGTGTTTTGCAAGATATTCTCAAAAGATCATTGCTATAAAGAGCTTTTTATTTGTGCCCATACAACAATTACAACCCAAATCCTTTTTACTGCATTGTGACTTACTAGAAGATACACAGATACACACAGAAACAGGCACACACATCCGAATAAACATAATGGAATAGAAAAATGGAAGGACACACTTTTTGTCTCTAGATTCAGATGGATTTGTCAAAAACAAATTATTGTTCAACAAAAGACTATGCAGGTACAAAGAAAGAATGAGGCAATCAAATAAATGTCTCACCACAACTTCTATTCATATTTGTACTATATAGGCCATTTTCATTCCTTAAGTGGTTTTTTCTGTTGTTGCTGCTGTTGTTAGAGTTAGATAATATGATGGCTTGGAATATAGTAAGTTTGCTGAAAGGATCATTGCTGTCTTTTACATAAAAGATTGGAATGAAATAAATACAAAAGAAGCATTTTTTTAAAAAAAGCATAATTTTGTTGTAGGTTATAAACTGTATTGGAGGATTAAAGTAAATAAAATTTTATGTCTTTTCAGAAAATAATAAAATTTGAGTTTATTTTACAAATATTTATAATACAGTAATAAACATCAGAATAATCCTTTTAAAATAAAATTTTCAGTTTTTACAGGGTCACAGAAGAATTTCATAAATAAAGAAGGTAAACAAAACAGGTGTAATGATATGTAAGCATTCCATGCATTTTATATCTGAGTAATGATAGGTATTTACTTCAAAATTTTCAGAGGAAAAATTTGCTTTAAAAACATAAGGCACTTACAAGGTGGAAATTACAGTACGTTAAACTGCAAGATATTTTAAAATTAAACTCCTGTGTTCATAAATTTATCAGCATATATTAAAATGCTAAAATTAAATACCAACTATGTCCTAGGATTTTTCATACTTATGCAACATCAATAATTAATAACTATTCTTGAATCTGTAAATGAACAAATTGTCAAATAATATTTTATGTCATAGATATCCAAAGATTTTGTATAGAGCATTTAAGATTTACAATCGATGAATCTGAGACTGAAGAACTTATTAGGCTGATTAAATTTGCATAATGTGTCAGTTAGGATAGATTTGATTCTATCACATTAATGCCAGATAAAAATGGCTTACAAAATGAAGTTTATTTCCTCTGAATTGAATACACATCTTCCTTACACGCAATCAGCTCCACCTTATCTGCATTTTGGAGTTTACTCTAATAGAGTACTTCCATAAATAATGAACTAATGATTGTAAAGGAGAAAGACAAGACAAGTATATGTTACTTTTAAAATTCCTGGTTAAAATTTTATGAATTTTCTGTCCACATTTCATTGGCCTGATTGATCTTAGATATGCTTTGTGCTCACAAGAGTTAAACCTTATTAACCTCTTAGAGGAATATCACGAAGACCAAACTATTTGATCAAACTAAAATTGATGGCAGCTGACATTCAATTCAAAATGCTTTTTTTTGCTTCATATCTTTATTAAATTATTGCTAAAATTCCCAACCTGATGTTCCAAACTCAGCCTCTCTTCAGCCTCTTCAATATCTGAGATTAGAGGCATGCAACACTTCGCCTAGTTTATGTAAGCATTTTAAGTATATTTTTGTGTATCACGTGGTTTCAGTAGACATATTTATTATTTATTACACATAGATGATAGAAGAACATGTTGGATGTTTAAAATTTCTAAAAAAACTATTTTCCAACAGATTATTATGTGAAATAAAGTCAAGCTTAAATTTCACATAAATTTTGTTATAGTAGATACCCAAAATATAAATCAAGAACAAACTGAAAGTTAGATAATAGGCAACAGACTGTTTAAAAATTGCAAGGGGAGCTAAAGATTTAGCTCAGCGGCATAAGTGCCTGCCCTGCAAGCACCCAGTCAGGAGCACCCAGTACAAACAAGAAAAAATAAATAAATAAATAAAAATGGGAAGGAGACCAAAATATGAAGGCAAAGAAGAGAGAGGGGATAGAAAGGGATGAAATATAATTGAGATGTGTTATGTAGGTATGTGTATCCACTCCCCATGATGACTATAATCACTATCGACTGCAAATACATTTTAATATAAACAAAAATTAACATTATGTTACTATAAAATAGAAATTGCCAAGAAAAATACATGATCTAAGTGAGGGGTTGTTTAAATTTGACCTAATGATTATAAAGAATTACTTGCAATAAAAATTTTAAGCTAATAATATTTTATTTAAAGATTTATAATGATTGCGAACATCCTCTCATCCATCATGTGTTTATAGAGATTTTTTTCAAATAAAGTCAGTACCGTGTGTCTTCATTTACTTTAATCACCACATCTGACACTGTGTTACTTCTGACTCTCCCCTAATGTGAAAAAGACCATGAAAAATAAACAGTTTAAAACAATTCAAGATACCAATTGTGGTCAGGGTGAATAATTTTTAAAAATGCATAAAAATGGGCTTCTGGAGGTGCTATTAAAAGTCTCAAGAACATGCGATATTTTTCTAGGAAGAGGGAATATTTTATAGGGAATGTATGACAATCTGTCTCTTGTTGTAATTTATTTTTTAGTTTAAACATTCAATATGTTTTGATAATACGTTGCATGAATTAGAAAGACAGTAAAGTGCACACCAGTGTCTTATTACCAATTATTTGCAACAAAATAAAATATTTACTTTTTTGTACCAAGTATTTAACCCATGATCTCAGACTTGCCAAACAGGCACTGATACCTCTGAGCTAAATGAAATAGAAAGATTTCAAATGTAGTAATGTCAGATAGCATATAGTGGCAATAGCTCTTGTGCTATACTAACCAGAAAATATGTGAAAAACAACAATTTTTAGACATTAGATAACAGCGCGTGAAAATCATGTAGAGAAGAATAATAAAAGTGGGGAACGCTATGATTTTACTAGATTGCTGATTAGAATCGTGTTTTAATATCTATGATATACAGAGGAAGCCAAAAGACAAGCTGTGTCTCAGGGTCAGCATAAGAAGACAGACAAATCAAGGTATTTCTAGACAAGTAGACTATTTCAATATATGCACATAATAAAAATGAATGGGATTTATTTAAACAAACCATAAAGAGTATCCAGAGATGAAAAATGTGATTTCTATAATTAAAGATGCCTATGAAGATTAATAATTGGTTAGAATTTGCAGAAAGTTTAGTGAGCTGAATTGCACAGTAATGAATGATGAAAAATGAAGCAAGTGAAAGACCACAAAATCGAATGAGTCTCTGTAAGATGGGAGCCAATGAAATATATTCCAAAGTTCAATGCATTAAAATCAAGGAAATTAAAATATATGTAATCAGAGTTATAGATTCGAGTAAAGTAATTTTATAATGAAACAATGAGAAAATAATGAAAATTTAAAAGGCAAAATACCACATAAAAAGAGAGTACATAATATAAATATGCAAACAAATAAAACTGTAATAATTCTAAACAAAATAGAACTGATATGAAAGCAAATCCAACATATATGCTATATATATGAAATATTAAATGGGGTGTGCTCAGAGCAGGTGGCCTGAAGAATCGCTTCTCTATTTACAACACATTCAACAGGAATCTAGGTTATTGTGACAAGGGGCACAAAGCTTCTGACCGCCTCTGAGCAGATGTCCTATACCTGTATTCCATATTCTTCCACATAGCCTCTAGATAGTACCAATTGGACCAGATCAGTAATAGGGAAAACCTGTAGCATTTAGTGGGCAGACATGGATATTTTGAGTGTATCCACAGGTGACCTGTTGGTAGTCCTAAAAGTAATGAACTTGAATTTCTATTTTCAATAAGTTTTTAAAAACAATAAGCATTAAGTAAAAAAAAAAAAAAGTATATCATACAAATATAAAATTTTAAGGTAAATATAAAAGTGCTATAAGAGTATTTTAATAGATTTCAAAATAAGCATTGTAAGTGATGGAGAGGGAGAGTCCTTACTGATAACAAGTGCTAATTCATCAAACCATATCACAGTGTCAAATGTGAATGCATTGAATAAAAGAGCTTCCTGATACATGAATGAAAATAATGAATATGAAATGACAAATGAGAATAATTCACCATGATATTTTAAGATTTCAAAAGTCTTCACTGATTGTTGTAATAATAGATGGACATTTTTTTACTATTATAGCTACCTTTTCTCTACCATTTGACTAAGTTTGCTAATCACTGCAAAATATTTAAAATGTTTACAAGTTTGAGGAAGTGGTGTGATATTTTAAAAAATATAATGATAAAATGATTCAGGCAGAAAATTCTGTAAAAACTATAAAAATTCTATCAGAATAATGTAAAAAATTTATTGAGTTTGGACAATTTAATCAGTATTAAAAATTAGCCTTTTTGCCAAATAACGATTGTTTTAATGACACTAAAATAGAGAAAAAATGATGCCACTTACATTAACATCAAATACTGTGTGCAATGCTACTAGAAACATTTATCAAAATACATGCAAAACTATACATTTTAAACTGCACTTCATTTCTAGGACAAGTTTAAGAAAATGTAAGTTGAGATACACTGAGTTTCTATATCACAACACCAAAATTACTTTAAAATGTCAATTCTCTTCAGAGGGTTCTATAGATTCAGCCCATTCTCCATCAATTTTCAATGCAGGGCTTTTTGCGGAAATTGACAGAATGATTCTGAAATAATTGCGGCACTTCACAGGACCCACACAAACCAAGTATTTTTCAAAAATAAATCTAAGGTGCTAGAAATGTAACTCAAAGATAAAATGATTGCATAGTACAAACTAGATCCACAGTTTAACAACACAGAACCACACAAAAAATTAAATTTAAAGTAAAATAAAGCTGGGGATATAGATCAGCGGCACAGTGCCTGTCTGGCAAGAGCAAGGTCATGAGCCAATTCCTGATACCAAAATAAATAAATAAGAATCAGCAAGGAATGTCACCATTACTTAATATCCTTAATTACTAATGATCTAAAATAATAAAAAGCATCTACCAATTTGAAAGCATTTCATAAAACTATAGTAGTCCAGACAAGGTGGTATTGATTTAAAAATGAGCATATGCATCAAGAGAATAGATCACATTCCATAGGAATTGTATGATAGCCCACTTATATTGTTATAGGTCAGATGTGAAATGTTATCCAAAGTTGCCTGTGTTGAAGGCGTGCAAGGTAATTTCCCAGTGACAAAGAACTCAATGTTCTGAAAGGCAAGAGTAAAATGAAAATCATAATCCAATTTCTGAGCTGAAACGAACTCTATCTCATTATTACCATAAAACTAAGGAAAATGTTTTCTTAAGGTAAAATGCACATGCATGCAGATGGAATTCAAATAGCATCTCACTATATTCCTTTTTACCTATCTGGTTCTACCAGACCTTCTTTTGAAGCTCCTGTCTTATTTTCCAGTTCTCTTGTGACAGCTCTTGCCTTAGTCAGATTATTATTCAGGGAAGAGCCACAAGTTCCTTTGAAAATGTAAATAAAATTAGATCACTGTTAATCTCAAAAAGTTCTGTGTTGGTTGTTTCACTAAAGTTAAGTCATATTTCTTAAAGTGAGTTCCAAAATATGGCCCATTATGTCATTCATTATTTGTCTCAAACTTATCATCATAAACTAATTATTGTTTAGTAACATTTGTCTACTTGCTACTCATGCAATTTACCAATAACCTCCAACACAACACATTTCATAGACTTCTTACATGCAGGTGTATTTTTCTCATACATGCACTTCATTATCCTTTGCAAAGCTACCAACTATCTTATCAGTCAGGCCCAATCTATCCTCCCTATATAAAATTACACTTGCACCAGGCGAGCACCCAGGTCAAACTTCGTTTGCCGTATCTCCTTTCCAATGATCAAAGTCACTGTTATTTAATTTAAATGCCACAAAATCTGTTTTGAAGGCATAGGTCATGATTTTTCAATATTTATAGAACATTCACCAAGGCTACTTATTTTAAAGCATTTCCATAGCTTTAGCAAATAATTCTCATGCCTATTTATAGTCATTTATTATATTAATCTCCTTTTCTATTACTAAGACACACTGTTTGATACAACATTAATGAGGAAGTGGTCTCTTAGGCTCATTTTGTTAAAGAGGTTCTAGTCTCTACTGAGTTAGTTACAGAGCAGGAATAGCATCCTAGCTCTGATGCACCTGCTTCTCTCATTTTTAAAGAAAGTATCATGGTGGAGAAAAGCATTAAAGTTCATGGTGGCCAGGAAATAGAGTACAGGGCAAGAGTGGCATTGAGAGATAGGTCTTTTAAAACCACAACCCCAGTGAACAGCTTCCTCCAACAGGCCCCATCTCATCACAGCACATTCAGCTCTGAATATCAATGGATTCATCCAGTGATGAGCACAGTGCCTCATGATCTAATTACCTCTCCACCAATCTCTTACTACTGTTAGGTTGACAATTAAAATTAATTGGTATAAGTCCACTGGTTGTCAACTTGATACCTCATCACATCTCTTTAAACCATGCTAAAGAGACACGTTATGTTCAAGTGCGCAAAAATCAGTAAAATAGGAGATTGTGCTCTGAAAGTCTATGATTGGCCTCTCAAGACATACTGTATATGTTAGGAAACATCTCCCAAGAGAAACGTTAAATCATGATAAAACAAACAAACAAACAATCATTCTAATTCTCAGATGGTGTACATGCTATATTACACAGAAAGCCTGAGTTAAAATTGCATATGGATTTGTTTGACAATTAATACATATAATATTAGGAAAGTCTCCCTACAATATCCAATGGACCATGAATAATCTCAGGTTTCCTCATAAATAAATGAGAGAGGCAGGTGCATCAGAGTCAGAAGAGAGAGGGAAGCAGAGTGTCACCATTATGTGACATGAGAGAGAACTTATCATTGTTGGCTTTGAATACAGAAGAGGCTAGGCACATGATCTGTATATAGAGAACAGAAAAGCAAACAACTCAAATTATTCTCCAGAGACATGTGGTTCTGCTGATCCCTTGAGGTTGGACAGACACATCTTACTGAAATTTCTGACCTCTAGCCTTGTAAGATAATACACATTAGACGTTTGAAAGTTACATTTCTAAGTCTATGGTACAGAAATAGCAGAGAAGTATTCAAGAACCGTAGATACCAGGTCGATAAGAGGTTTAGGAAGAAGGGTTAAATCTTCACTGTTCGTCACACTTTTGTACCTAGAAGTACTAAATTATGCCTAAAATATATGTTCGAAGCAGCGAGAGTCATGGTATCTGCTGTTGAGGGAAAAATTTTACAGACTAGTTAGATTTTTCCAATGGGAAAACATGACCATATGGCAGAGATGTTAGAAGCAAAAAATTATGCCAACAGGATAATCAACCATCATTTACATGGCCAGTCATCCCCGAGAACTGGCAAGCATGGAGCATCACTGTAGCAGCTGCTGCCATGGCCCCAAATCCTGCAAAAATAACTGAAAAAGAAACAAAACAAGTAAGCAAATTGAAACCCTCTGAGATCATGTATTTGTAAATTACACAGCTTTGTGTAATCAGAATATAGAGCTACCTAAGGTCATTTAAATGTGGATCTCTGCTCCAACTTACAAAAGATCTGTGAGCTTGAGAAATATACTTAAATAGCATCTGTTTGCTTATCTCTACAATAAAGTTGAACCTGGCTGAAATAATATTCAAAATATTTTTTTTCTTTTTTTTTATTTCTTCCTCTGTTATTCCTGTTTTTCTCCTCTCTCCCTCTCCTTTTTTCTCTTCCTCTCTCTTCTCCCTGCATCACTCATTCCTTTTTAATAGAAATAAAATAAAGAACAAATTTAGTATGAAAAAAGTATGTGTATGATTTAGTTTATTTTATTCAAAATATGTCAATTGCCTGACCATTTATGCCAAGATATTTTATATCTTCACAAGTACAATTATTAACACTCATTCATAAACACAAGTCATATAATGTAATTATTTAGCTAACATGTAGATAAATGTGCATTATATATACATATGTGCATTGTATACACATATATGTACATGTATATCAAGAGAGAATGTATTCAATAAAATGCTATAAAATTTCTGATACTTAATTGACAAAATAAAATAAATCTTGATATGGTCACATGTTTAATAAGGATTCCACAGGAAAATATGTCTTGTAAAAAGATTAATTTATAAAAATTTGGTTCACGCAACTATGGGGGATGATAAGCCTTAAAAGCTGCATTTGGGCTGCTGAAGATCCAGGAGAGATGTTGATGCATTTGTGAAATATATCTGAACAATGGAGAATCAAGAGATTCAGTAGTTGAAGGTTCAGTCTAAATGACAAAATTCAGGATCCACAGAGCTGATATTCCTGTCTGAGAACAGAGAAAACTGAAACTGTTTTTACTTTAAAGTAGTCAGGAGTCAGGTAGCAGCTCTCTCTTTGGAGTAGATCAGCCTTTCTGTTCTATTACAGCCTTCAGCTGAGGTGGTAAGGTCAGCCTTGCTTGAGAGAAAAGTTGATTTTACGACGGTACCACTCGAATGTTATTTCTACCCAAAAATACTCTCGTGACACATTCAGAGTAAAGTTTGGCCAAGTAACTGAACACCCTAAAGCTGAACTAAGTTGACACATGAAA